AGAAGGTTCAAAACTAAAAATTTTAGTTTGTAGGTTTTAGTTTAGTTTGTAACTCATTGTATCCAATACCTGCCCTGCCCTGAATGCATTTGGCAGCAAAACCTGACCTAGTCAAATGTCAGGCTACTTAGAATCTCCACTTATCCCAGTCTGCTGGCATTTTGCTACAGATACCTCATTAAAGTGTTTGATTACTGGATGTTGTCCCTATTCACTAGAATGTATTATGAACTTCCTAAAACCTGTAAAATTCTTAAATACATCCAGCCTCACAGCTTTTAGATAAAATACTGTGAATCTATATTACCCTTAGAGAATGCACAGTTTCTATATTCTTAAATAAGACCCTAAACTTAGCAGTAGAAAATGTTAGGATGAGACAGCATTTCCCTGTACATTCAGGAGGGCCTTGAATTCCCAGGATATTCTTTTCAAATAGAATACATTTACAATATTTTACTTACATGTCATTGTAAAGTTTTCAAACTCTAAATTCTAGTATTTGCTTAAAGAAAACCTATTCTCAGCTGGGCTTGGTGGCGCACGCCTGTAATCCCAGCACTCAGGAGGTTGAGGCAAGAGTATCATTGCGAGTTCAAGGCCAGGCTGGGCTACAAAATGAGCACAAGGCCAGCCTGAACTACATAGCGAGACCCTGTCTCAAAAAAAAAAAAAAAAAAAAAAAGCCTATTCTCATAACTTCGACCACAAATAAATAATTAAGACTCTGTGGAGAGCACAAATGTTCCTTGAATCATGTATATCAAATCATCACGGAACGTGAGGGTTGAAAGAGACCCCTGAGAACTAATCTGAACTGTCATCCCTTCCCTTCCACACTGTTGTATCATCCATAAATTTTCTCTCCCCTATGAGGTAAGAAAACCTGCCCTGACTTGTCCTTAGGCTGTGTCTATAGGAACACCCTGCAGGTAATATGAATAAACTGGGTGGGGTACACTGACAGAATTAAAAAGGATAACTTGAACCTAACACAATCAATCTTATACATTTGGTAAACGTCTCAGATTATATCTTAGAAAATGACAAGAATGCCCAACTCTTACAGATTCTTCTCACGCATACTTTAAAAAAAATAAAAAGATTGCTATCTTATGGACTCAGTGAGTCAACAACATAATGTGACTGCCAAAAAAGCTACTGTGACTAGGGACTAACTGCATCATCAGAATCACATCCAGAAAGAATGGGGTAACTGGCCTCTCTGCTCTGAGTTAGCTGGAGCACATACGCAGTATTAGGTTCACATCTGCTCCACATTTTTGGAGAGTCACAGAAAGGTTAAAAGGTACAGAAAGACTGAAAAGGTACAGAAAGAGGTAACCAAGATAGTGAAGGAATATAAAATTGTATCACATAAAGATCAGTTGAAGGAGCAGAAGCTATTTAGCCTAGACTTGGAGCATGATCACTGTCTCCAAATCCCTAAAGAACTGCCATGGCATAGAGAAACAGACTTGTTCTGCATAGACCCAAGTGACAGAACCAGATTAGTGTTAACTACAGGGAGAATATTTCAGCTAAGTTACAGAAGTCATTTTTAAAATACAGCGCCACATTAGGAGATTGTGTCTCCTAAGGTCCAAGCCCTGGAAGTCTGTATCTTTAACAAATCAAACATTTGTCATTACCTCAGTGTCTTACTGCTGATTATTATTACTTCTCCCTTCACCCCTTCTTAAAATGCCCTATCCAGCCAGCCAGTCAACTGAACATTCCGCCAGGTTTGTGGGAGGAAAGTGCCTGCTTGTGGGCAATTAGTTTCAGTTTGCAGATCAGGAGCTCTATAAACAAACAAAAAAACCCTAACTGAGAAACAGACAAAAAAATTTTCATTAATGCAAATGGCACCATAAGATCTACCCAATCAAACAATATATTATCAGTGGTATAGAGTCTTTATAGGAATATTGAAATTTAGAAAAAAAATCAGTACAAACATCTTTCCAAATGCCAGGGAATCCAACTTTGCAAGCCAAACAAGATCTCTCAAATTCAAACTGACAAGGAGATATGTTTACTATTTGAAGTAGACTAGACCTCATGCTCAGATAAAAAATCTATACCTGATTATATCCCTGTAAAGCTAAAATTGTCTATCAATTGGCCCACAACATCAGTTAAACTGCTGAGAACGAGACACAGCAACCCCGAGTGAGTTCACAGAAAAGTACAAACTACAGAATATTGAAAACAAAGCAGAGTGACTGGCGTTGGACATCCTAAAACTTCTATTACCAACAGATCACAAAAGATATAAACATATTTTAATCCATGGAAGTTACTAAAAACCTTGAACAAAGTTCAGATGGCAAACATTTATTAATCCAGCTTCACTTGAAATTGACTTGAAATCGAAGAAACTTCAAAGTATTGGAGAATACAATAAATATGTGATAGACCTAACAAGAATACATTCTTTCCTGTGCTTTTTTTAAAAAGTGGAGTCCAGAAGCAATCTCACTGTCTACAAATTACAGATTGGGTAAGTCACTTATGGTACACTCTGACAATGGAAAGGGCATCAACTAAAAAAGAATAAGGTAAGGGTGGCAGTGTAGCTCAGTACTAGAGGTTTGCCAAGCATGCATGAGGCCCTGGGTTCAATCCCTGGTACAAGAGAAGAAAACAAAAAGTAGACCCTGGGTGTGGTGGCGCACGCCTGTAATCCTGGCACTCGGGAGGCTGAGGCAGGTGGATCGTTACAAGTTCGAGACCAGCTTGGGCTACAAAGTGAGCTCAAGGCCAGCCTGAACTGCATAGCAAGACCCTGTCTCCAAAAGACAAAAAAAAAAAAAAAAAAAAAAGTAGACCCTAAGTACTGGTTTGAAAAGAAAATAAATTCCAGGATACATACTTAAATGAATAGAGCAAATTGTTAAACAATATCTATAGAATTATTCCATTTTAATTTTTTTAAAAACTCTTTTAAAATACTGTGTATATGTTCATTCATGCCCAGAAAAACTGTTTGAAAAAAGATCTGACAAACTGCTAACAGTAGTAGCCTCTAGGGACTAATTGGAACTAGGGGAGTGACTTTCACTTTTTCCTTTGTAGACTTGTTTCATTTTTTGGCTTTTTGGGTTTGTTTATTTGTGGGGTTTTGTTTGTGGTTTTGTTTTGTTTTGGGTTTCTTTTTTTTGGTGGGGGGGGCCAATAACAGCTACCTTTGTGTTTTAAAAATAATAAAAAATAAAATAACAACAATATAGTTATTTATCAAATACTAACCAAAGTAACCAATTGCTATTTAGGTTCCACTACTATGACTTGAAACTCCAAAAAAACTAATCCATACTTTTTCTATTCTATTTTACTACAATAAATTTTAAAAATCACAAGTCCCTGCTGGGCTTCCCAAATGCTTTACTACACACAAAAAAAAGCCTGGTCATAAGGATAACTTAGACACATGGTGCTTATTTGCCACCAGGAATTACTCTAAACATTATAGCTGTATTAACTTATTTAATCTTCACAGCAATCCTATGAGGAAAGTACTTTTACTGTCTTCATTTCACAGTTGAAAAACTGAGGCCACAGAGGTTAAGTACCTGTCCAAGCTTACGTTGCCAATAAGGGGCAAAGCTAGAATTCAAACTTAAGAATGGACTCCAGAATCCAGCTTTCAACTACTGTGCCTCCTGTCTCAAAAACATATCAATCTTTCTGTACAAAGGCCAAAAAGGCATTACAGATTAAAAAAAGAAAGAAAGAAACAGCTAGTTAATACACTCCTTGAAGCTGGAAGAGATGCTTTTGGGGGATAAATAATCCGCTGCATTCCTACTTATGTCACTGCCAAGCTCCAACCCAAGACTTAAGGCTGTATTAAGGCTCATAACCATTGGGAAAATTCTCTCCAAACTCAATTATAGTCCAAAGTCCATACCTGACTCCGCAGTAAACCACTCAGCCTAAGAATTAGGTCAGTGATCCAGCTAAACAAGTAGTTTAGACAAATCTCCACCCCAACTCAAAGCAAAAGAGCTCAGAAACTCTTCCTTAACATCTTGACAAGGTAGTTTTTCCTTAGTTTCAGGCCTAGTTTAGATATAAAAGGGGAAAGAACAGGAATCACCTCTAACTGTGCTTGAAGACTTCAGTCAGCGGGATGAAGAGCCCTATTTTCTAGGTGAACTCAAACGGAAATTGACATTTGTCAGTATCCTAAGGTAGTTTAAGGGGACAAAGATAAGCAACCCTGCTTAAACTGTACTGGTACAAACATACTGACCTTGTAATTGAGAAAGAAAAAAGTGATACAAGACAGGAACTTAACCTAATTTTAAAACGTTCTCAACCTAGATACACCTGTCCCAAATGGCCTACTGAATCTACTTATTTGTAGAGAAAAATATGGATTACAATGCCTTCTTTATTGTTTGGCCTAAAATGGTCTATACTATTTATAAACAAAATCTCTTCACAATCCTCTATTCCACCTGTCTCATATACACACATCTGACATTTCCATAAACAAAAACAAAACAAAACAAAAACCAACAAGCAAACCACAGCTTTGGGAGGGATCCTTTATACTCAGCTTTTGACATACGAACTGATGGAGGTACTGTACTGGTTTTCAAACTTCCCCAAATAACCCAGCGACTGGGTGAGCAAACCAAACCCAAAAGTTTGTGCTTATTCTGGGTCTCTGACAAAGGCCAGAAAGCCCTGTTTGGAAAGAGATCCTCAGATGCCTTCCACACAGCAGCCGCTCACTCTCAAGGAAGCACAGCTGGGGGGTGGGGGGGACGACAAAAGACTTTCCAGAATTGGCAAGGGGTGTGGGCACTGGGGAAAGAAGGGGCTAGCTGGAGCTTGGGCCTCCCCTTGGAAGCCAAAATGAAGGGAGCCTTTAGAGCAAGAAAGATCAGTTCCAGCCAAGGGTCCAACCCCAGCTGCAACCCCGGGCGGCATCAGGATGAGCAGCCGCTGAGAGTGTCATGCAGCGAGGGCAGCGCTGGACTCACCTGGGGGAGGCAGAGAAGGGACCTCAGTGACAGGTGGGTTGGGAGGGAGGCTGCTGCTGCTGCTGTTGCTGCTGCTGTTACTGTTGCTGCTGCTGTTGCTGCTGCTCCTGCTGCTGCTCCTGCTGCTGTTGCTGCTGCTGCTGTTGCTGCGGCTGCCGGGGAGGTCGGGGGTCGGGGTCCTGGGAGCGGTCGGCGCCAGGACGGGAGTCGCTACAAGGCTGGTCGGCGCCGGGCCAGTGGTCGTCGAAAGGGTGGTTGGCGCGTGACTGGTCGGCGCCCGAGGGGTGGTGGGCATGAAATCCACCTCCGGAGAGGTGGTCGCCTGGAAGGTGGTCAGCGCGGGTCCAGTCGCCGCCCCAAGAGGGGTAGTCTCCGGGGACCCGGCTGGAGAGGTCGCGGCCGGGGGTCGGCGGACGGTAGGGCGCGGGGCTCCGCTCCTCGGGGCCTGGGCTGTGGGAGCCGTCGCCTCAGGGAAGAGGTAGCTGGGCTCGCCCCGCAGCCCCAGGCCGGGCGACGCGTCCACCTGCCCCTCGGCACCGCCGCCGCCGGTGACATTCCCCGCCGAGGCTGCCGCGGCGGCGGCGGCGCAGCACAACAGGGCGAGGCCGCCCAGGCTCGGCAGGCTCCTCATGGCGCGCTCGGCTTCCCCATTCATTCATTCAGCCAGTCGGTTGTGCCAGTCATCTTCTCTTCCCTGCCATCCGACCGAGGGCCGTCGCCGCCACCGTGCGCACCATCGCCACCTCCCTCTGACAGGCGGCCGGCCCCGCGGGCGGGCCCCAGAGCGATGGGAGAGACCCTGTCGAGCGCGGACAGCCCGCCCTCCTCGATTGACAGCCGTCCTCAACCAATAGTAAGACAAGCTTGCCCACGTGACCTACCCGCTTCCCAGCCTCTTTGTAGTTCTACAAACCAATCAGAGAACGTCGAGCGGAGGGGGCGGTGCGTAAGGCGGGTAGAGGGCGGTGCAAACCCAGCTCCTACCGGCCCGGCTCGCCGCTGCCCCCGCTTTGTCTGCCAGAAGAGCGGGGCGCGGGCCTCGGGCACCCGGGCACCACCGAGCAGACAAAGGACGCGCCCTGTGTGGCAGATGCCGGCCCAAGTCGTCTGCTCTAGTGGGCTGCGAATGCAACCTGGGGCGGGGAATCCTCTCTCTGGAGCGTCCCCGCCCTCCTGAACAATGGGGCGCCCGCGCGGCTCCAGCACAAGGGCTTGTGGGGGGAAGAAGGGATTGAGGCTGTGGCCCCGGGGTGGGCGAGAGAGGCAGCGGCGAGCATGTAGAGCTCAGCATTCCCTATGCTGCCCAAGGGAGCTCTCCCTGCGAGGTCTGCGCTGCCCTTCCATTTCAGAGATGAGGAAACTGAGGCCCTTGCTCTGACAGCCCCCCTGACGCAAGACCCAGGTCCACCCCAGGCACCTGCTGTGGAGAGGCTGGACGTGAGATCTGGAGAGCCGTCAGGAGCAGAAGGTGCAAGCTTGTTGCGTGGGGTAGGCAGATTGACGTGCACACTTTACTCCAAGCCCTGGGGAGAATAGGATTGCACAGGGTTGAACCTTAGCTTTTTGTCTCCCTTGCTGAGTGTTTTTGTGGCCTGGGCGCCGTTTTCTCACCACTAAATGGGGATGATAGGTCGCATCCCACCCTGCTCACAGGGCTGTTGTGAGGATTAAGTAGTGTACGTAAAGGGCTCAACCTACTGTCTGGCCCGCTGTTGTAAACCCTCATTAATGCTAACCACCCTCTGTGCTCTGTGTCAGGACAAGCCTGGGGTTTGCAAGCAAGTCAGAGGCCTCAGCCCTGCTGTGTCCCCAGAGCCTCTTGCCTGTTGCAAGGATTGGGGTGGGGCTGATAGCACAGCTTGACCCTGGATGACATTAAACTCGGGATAAAGCTGGAGATCAGGCACGCAGCCTTGCACCATCCACCTAGGATCGAGCTAGGTCAGGCACTGCTGTCTCGGAGGCTGAGTGGCTTCCCGGGGGGAGGGAAGGAAGGGCGAGGTTGTCATCTGACAGGTTTAACCCCAGCCTCATTGCTGGCCCAGTCCTGGCCTCTCCTTTACGATGCTTGCCTTTGTATCTGGTTTCGCATTAATCATTAGCCTCCAGCCAGACCAGCAGAAGGAGATTTGTATGTGAACTTGTGTATGTTAAGAAAAGCATGTATTCATTGGCCGACATGAAAGGTGGGTGGGGAGAGGATATGTATGTGCTTGTATACCAAAGCATAAATACGTTCATACGTCTGTGTGTATGAGTATTATATGTATCTGTGTGAGTCTAAGAACATGGGCGCCAGTATCTATTTTCATGTGTGTCTTAATCTGTGCATGATTGCTAGTATGGGTTTTATGTGTTTCCCGTGTTTTTGCATTTGTGGTTATCTCTGGGTGTGTCTTGATAGGCCTGTCTGTGTCTGTAACAGGGGGCCAATGAGAAAGGCGTGTAAGTGTTCTGGTTTCAAGACCAATATTTAGCAAGCCCTAAACAAGGTTCTGTTTTTACTTCTCTTTAGGAAGGGAGTGGACATGACATGCCCCTTTCCTATGTTTTCTCGAAGACTCTTTTCGGCTCCCAAGCCCAACCAAAATACCACATCCTCTAAGAGACTGCTCTGGATTTCTGAGTGGGAATTAATCTCTTCCTCTGCACTTCCCCACTGTCCTTTGTTCATTCATTGATTACAGCCCTGATCTATCAATCTACCTCTCCTCTGTGTCTTCAGAAATATATGCAACAGGATAAATTGAACTGCCCACGTTGTTTTATTACTTCCCCAAAGCATATATCACCTGTCTCTTCCATCAGGCTGTCTCTCAGTGCCCAGCAGGAGCAATACAATGTGAGCCCTGATCCCTGCTGACTAAATTTACAAGGGATCCTGTGGTGCCCACAGGAAGAACTTGTGTCTGAGTCATAACTGCCAACTGTGTGACCTTAGAGGTCCCTTCTCTTAGGTGGTTTCCCCTCTAAGCCAGGTTCCTCATCTATAAAATGGGGCCAACAAACCTTTTCTCATGGAATTGAGCTGAGCATACAAGAGAACATTTTTACAGAACCTGACCCTAAGACAGTGCTCAGCCTGTGTAGGCTCATATTTCAGTAATATCATTGCCAACCTTGAGCCTTGCTGGCTGAGGGACCAAATCAGAAACCTCTGCCTCATAACCTTCCCATCAGATGATCTGCCCTGACAGTTGCCCTACTAAATATTTCCAAATGATACCTAAAACTGCTAGGTTGGCCTTGAGCTGTGCTGTATCAGAGATTCTCTGGCAGTTGGGGAGAAAAGCTGATGCAGCTTCTTTGCCAGAAGAATCACAGCAAAGGACTAGAAGACCTTGCTGAGTGATCCAGGACAGCTCTGCTTCAGGTGAGTATCACCCACAATGGGCTTCTCAGACAGGACAATTAACCCAGAATATACATAGAAAACATTGAACTTTTTGAAAGATACCTTGAATTTACTATTCTTGATTCAACATGTAATTCTTAAACTGATTACTCGTCTCTGTAAACCACAAGATGATTTTTATTTCTTAGGAATAATATTTTAATTTATTATTTTATTTTATTTTATTTGCAGTACCAGGGATCGAACTCACAACCAGGCAGGCACTTATGCCACTGAGCTATATCCTCAGCCGTTAATTTATGTTTAAAAATTGGAAATACATTAACTCTCCAACATCAGAAAAAGGGATTATTATATCTGTTCAATTTAATTATGTCATTGTAAAGGTGCTGTCAAGATCATATAGCAAATATGAATAATAGACATTACTATTGCTATTAAATACACGTGTTATTTTGTTTAATCCTTAGAACATTGTGAGGTAGGTACTATTATATTTCTGTCTTTTTGGGCTATTATAACAGAGTACTGTGGATTGGGTGATTATAAACAATAAAAATGTACTTCTCACAGTTTTGGTAGCTAGGAAATCCAAGATCAAGATGCCAGTAGCTTTGGTGTCTGGTGAGGGTCATCTTCCTAGTTCATAGATGGCTGTCCTTTTGCTCTATTCTCACCTGGTAGAAGTAAGGACACTAATTCATTCACAGTAGCATTGCCTTCATGGTCTAATCACTTCCAAAAGGCCTCCAAATACCATTATGTGGGGGAGGAGAGTTAGGATTTCAACATAGGAATTTGAGAGAGGCACAAACATTTACTCTATAGCATAATCTCTAAATTTTACAGATAAGGAAACTAGGGCAGGAGAGATTTAGCAACTTACCCAAGATCACTTAGTAAGTATTAGAACCAGAATTCAAACTGAGACTGACTGGCTTCATCTACCACCCTTAACGTAAAGGGAAAATGATTATAAGGTTGGGAAGAAAAGAGAAGATAAAAATTATAACTGTGATACTTTGTGTACCAAAATGTTGACAGGCATTTTTCCTATAGCACCACAACTGCAGCTAGCGCCCAGAGTTCTAGAGAGAGCTGTCAACCCACCATGACAGCTGGAGCCAGAGTGCTTAATGAGGGGCCACAGAACAGCAGGGGTTAGAGAAGGCCTTGTTGGCGTCCATGAGAAGCCTGACCTTTCTTCTGCAGGAAATGCAGATGCTGCAGAACATCCAGCCTGACTCCTTTTTATACTCAGCACCAACCCAATGTCAAATACACAGAAGCAGGTCAAGAATTGTTGGGCTAAAAGGAGTCTTATGATGTGGCAGGCAGTATTCCAAGAGTTTTGTATTTATGACCCATTTATTCCTCAAAGGAATATCACCAGTGCCTGAAAGAAGAGGAAACTGAGCTTCTGAGAGGCTTAGGGATTTGTCCACGACCTGCCTGAGTCCAGCGTCCAGGCTCTTTTCTGTTAGTCCACCAATGTGGCCACCGTGCAGAGTACATGTATGAGGCCAATGCTAACATACTGAAAGAAGGGACATACACACACTAAATGTAACCTGCTGCTAGAGCACCCTTTAAGGAAAGAGAAACTCTGGAGTCAAAAAACATAATAGCATCATAGATGTGACACATCACGATAGCTTCTCCCAGAAACTTTCCCCTTTCTAGTTGCACTGAAACAGCAGTGCTGACATGGACTCTTCTCTTCCTAATCCTCCAGGAGCCTGGCTTCCTATCGGATGTGGATGAATGCAAGGCAAGGTTTGGCATCTTCTACAGAGAACTCTGGGATTATTAGGACTACATTTAACTGAGTCTGCACAGCAAAGAACAATGACAGACAACTCACAGAAAGGGAAATGCAAATGACTGAGAAGTATGAAATGCATATGCAGCTAAAGTAATCAAAGAATTGCAAATCAAGACAATGAGTTGTGTTGTTTTACCTTATTGATTTGCATGGACTCAGACTTCTTTTTAAACTGGTAAGACGTGTCATTCGCCAGGGAGTGTCTCTCACTTTTGGCAGGAATATAAAGGTAGAAAGGATACAACCTTTCCAGGAAGCCTTAAAATTGTTGATACTCCTCTTTGACTCATAGCGTCCACCTTTAAGCATCTAAGGGAAATAATCAGCTATACATATTTATGTACAAAAATGTTCATGTGATATACAATCATGAAAATTTTGAAGTCTAAACAGTTAACAATAAAAATTGGGGACTGAAAAGGTAACTCAGTGATAGAGCACTTGCCTAGCATGTGTAAGGCCCAGGGTTCAATTCCCAGTACCACAAAAAGAAATAAAAAGGAAAGAGGTCTCCTTAGGTACTTGGTATTTTCTGATGTTTCTGTGTTGAAATATTATACATCTATAGAACATACTCATGAAGGAAAGTCTGGTGGTATAAAATGATGAAAATATAGTTTATGTGACTAATCTATAATCCCAATCATGTAAAATAATAATGTAGTGTCAAAGATCAAATCAAAATATTAACAGTGTTTATTTCTGAGTGACTGCAGTGTGGATATTTAAAATTTTTTCTCCTTCATTCTTTTCTGCATTTTCCAAAATATTTTTACAGTGAACATATACTACTCTCAGAATTACTAATAACCAACACTAGAATTCATTTGAATGTAGAGATGTGTCTGCCAGCCACTCTTTGATCTACTCCCTGGTATCTCTTCTTAAAACAATGAGGGAAAAAAAGACTCATGTCAAACCAACATGAATTGCAAAGCCCTACCTCCAAATGGTGAAACCAAATGTTGAAATCCTCCTTCAAAGTCCCTGTAATGCTAAAATAAACTCAGAAAAGCATTTGTTGCCATTCTTAGAGATCTCCTGAAGGACATCGTTCACAGTGGGCACCAAGTCAAACCCTTGTTCGTCATCAGCATTGGCTGCAGAGCAAAGAATTTGAACCATTTTGGGGAGGAATGGGGCCAGAGTTTCACAAATGACTCTTTCCCTGCGGTTGCTATAATTGCAGTAAAGGGGACAGGATTACTGACAGGTGCACAGCAAACAGTGCTTTCTCAACCATTATCTCACTTGAGCACTGCACCAAGCCCAAAAGGAGGGTAGTAACAGTTGTAGTAGTGATAATAACAATACCAACCGTGAATGATGTTTACTGAGCACTTATTATGTGCCGGGCATCCATTCCAAGAACTTCATATATATTGTCCCCTTCAATCTTATACTATGAAGTAGAAGGAGTGATTATCCCCACTTTATAAGTAAGCATATTTTAACTCAAAGTAGTCAATTAACTTGCCCAAGGTTACTATGCTGATAAATGGAAGAACTTCAGACTTCAGGTCCAGAGTGATTTCCACAATAGCTTACTGCACTTTCTCTACTTTTATTTTATTGCTGTTACACTTAGGAGAGACAATAATTTTTAGCCATAAAAAGTACTGAGTTGAATCCTGATCATTCTATAGCTGGGTACCACTGGTTAAGTTACTTTAGCTCTGGGTCTCAGTTCCTCCTCTGTGGAGTGGGGATCATTCTATTTACCAAATAGGGTTCAAGGTCAAACAAAGTGATATATATAGATAGATATATATAGATATATATATAGATATATATAGCATTGAACAAAAGCCTGCCCTATATAAAATACTCAAAAGACATCAGTACATATCTGATTTTCCTAAACCTGTCTTTCCACGGAGTAGGTCAAGACCAAGAGGGTACAGTGTCCATGGGATTCCATGCCCAGAAATTCTAGACTCTCAGGACAGTCACACCCTTGCCTTCTGTGCTCTCTGCCCCATGAAAAGCCTCCTTCATTGGAGTGTATGCCTGTCTGAGGGCACTGCACTGTCAGGATGGAGAGAGTGCTTGGCAGGAGGAGACCCTTGACTACCCTTCCTTTGGAGGTTCCCAGAGAAGTACTTGAGCCTTTAGGACTATGATGTGCTTTGTTGGGCTAGTTTAAGAAAGCCGTGTCAGTTTCATGCTGACATCTGAGGACTAGATGGTAAGGAAACTCAATTTTAGAGGATCAGGTATTTCTAAAAAGTTCATAGAAAGAACAAATAATAAGAGTGGGAAGGGGACTTAGGCATCGACCCCTGCAAACAAGTTCTTGCACAGATGATAAACCAAGACTGACAAAAAGTAAAAACCTTGACAAGATCGCAAGATCGCACATTGCAAATTAACAACAAAGCCAGGGTCAGATCCTAACCCTCTGACTCCCAGGTCACTGTCAGACCCAAACAAACTATGGTTAACCTAGGAGGCCACTGAGGGCCAGTGCAGGCCTCCAGTCTACCAGTTGGACACTAGGTGGGCTTCCTTACCCTCTGACTTCCAGTCAAGGGCTCTATGTCACCAGACTCCCTCTCTAGGAGCCTTGCTCTTAAATCACAGAAATGGCACCTGCTGCCAGCTTATTATCCATGAACAAGGTAGCACTTTAATAATGACAATAATCAGGGTCCTCTTAGGCAATAGTGGGGGATTTGGGAATCATAAAAATCTTCCAAATGAGGCCAATACTGGTGAAGAGAACTAGAAATATCTTTCTTGTCCTGTCATGCCCAAATTAGAACAACCTCTGAAAGGGGTCCTGGGAGATCAAGCCTTCTCTCAGAACTGTGGGTCTCATTTCCTTTCTCAAACAACTACTGCACTGTTCCTCTAGGGTTTATTGGGTGTGTGCAATGCCTCAAATGCAGTCTGGAATTTGGAATTGGATGTAATCCTTAGGCACATATTGGCAGCTCTACCTCTTTAAGAGACAGAAACATTGAATCTCTGCCATCCAGTCCCACATTGGGAAATTAATCTATGAATCAACCGGGTTCCCAGCCCGGAGTCTATCTCCTTTCAACATGAAATGTTCTGTTGGGAAATGTCTATGATCTTGTGAATCCGGCTGGACCACTTCCAGCCTTTTATAGCAAGAAGCAACCTCTCTAAGCTCTGTTTGGTCACTTGTAAAATGTGCACCTAATACTTAACTGTGTTCTAGGAGGATTCATTCATTCATTCAGGAAAAATGTATTAAGCACTGATCTGCAGAAACTCTACTGAATGACAGAAGAAAAAGAGCAACCCTGTATTCATGGTACTTTCAATATAGTAAATGAAATGATTGATTAATAGATGGGTAAGCAGCTAGGATATTTATAGGTTAAAATAATTGCCAGAAAGGACACTAAAAGGACATTCTGTATTAGGACACAGAATAACTAAGAGACATCCCCTTAGGGTGGTCATGGAAAGCCTCTCTGGATATAACAGTGCAGCTGAAGTCAGAAGGAGCCAACTCTACAACAACTAGAAGGAACTGCAGTTGCAAGATGTGGAGGAGAAAAAGGAGCAGAGAGAAGATGAGGATGAGTGAAACATCCTAAGTGAAGCAGAGAATTGTATGTGCTAGATTCTGCAGTGCTCGGTGCCCATGTAAGAAGACTGGATTTTATTTTTAGAGCAATGAGAGGTTGAGACAGAGCTTGAAGCCAGGGGATGAGTATGGATAACAGGACAGCAAGGACAGAAACAAGTGAGCAGACTGAGCTGTCCAGGTGTGAGAAGATGGTAGCCTGGTCTGTCCTGGAGGCAGAATTGAGATATATGGGGGTTTTTTTCCAAGATATGTTTTAGAAGTGGGATTGTCAAGACTTGCTCTTGGATTGGGTGTGGGGTGAGGAAAAGATATAAAGAATGACTCCTTATTGAACTACAAAAACAACCATGGTTGGTAAGGAATAACTGTCCTCTGGCTATACTTTATATTTCAAAGTGCTTGATATCCAAAATAAAATTATAATAGTTAAACTCATTGTCCTCACTGCAATACTAATGTCACTGGTCTTCTCTTCTAGATGTTTAATAACTAAAGTTTAGAGACTGGAACTAGAAAGATAACTGAGCTAAGAGGACAACCAGTATTTAATCCTAGCCCTCCATAGTCAACAAGGACACAGAACATGAGGGAACCTTTGTACAAGATCCTACAACTTTGGTGAGTCACCTAACCTCCTGAGCAGGGAGATTGCTGCACCCCAGAGGACAAAAATCAGCAAGTGTACAGTGTGCCAAAGGAGGGTCACCAAGAGGAAATGTCTCCTCTGCTTTCACAGAAAGCAGCATGGTTAACCAAGGCTGTGACCCATCCTGATGGCTGACACTGACAGAAGAGCTGAGAGGCTCTACACATAGTTTAAAATTTGTTTATTCTTGCCCAGAGGCTGCTCAGATAATGCCTGAAGAGATTTAACTGAACTTGATAGACAGCAAGAGAATTTCAGTTAACACAGGTCTCACTTTAACTTGGTCTTAAACACCCAGCAGAAAAGTATAACCAAAAGATGTATAAAAACAATACCATAGTAATAAGCTAGATATAAAAAGGGGCACCAATCCCTGACTCCTTCTGACAGTTTCCAGCTATACCAGTAGCTAACCACTGTTATGGATCATTAAGAAAAACTATAGTAAAATCTATAAAAGCTCAACAAGAATCTTTAAATTCTTTAGCTAAAATTGTCCTTCAGACCACAACACTCTCTTTTTACAGCTAAAACTGGAGGACTCATAACCAAATAATAGACTTATAGATAAGAGACTTATTGATATAGAGGAGTTTAAGAACCAGATAGTTACAGCTGCTATTCCAGCCCCTAAAGAACATTTTCTAGACTTGGCTGTTATCCCAACCTGCCTCTCTGTTCTAGTGCTCGTGCTTTGATTATACATGCTCTAATTTCTCAAAAAAGTTGTTTATTCTTGCCTAGAGGCTGCCAAACCCCAGATAATCATGCCAATGGAAGCAAAGACAAACATGCTAAACTCCTTTTACCAGGACCCACCAGATCAACCTTGTAAAGAGAGCTTATAACTGCGGAAATATGTCACAGCATGATGTCTCTCTGAAGCCTATTAGATTAGCTCTCTGGAGAAGACCCTCAACTGTGGTCACCCCTACACTGGCCCTTTTCAGCTCAAACTACACCCATTCTCACCTAACCACAATTAGGGATACTTCTTCAGAGAGGAGAATATTGTAGATAGCTAGGTTATTTAGAAGTGTTGTAGGCAGTCAGATGGGGCTTGGCCCTGAAGGGGTCAGTGCAGAGGACAACTGTGTTGGGAGGCACATTTGGTAAGGGCCAGGCTTCAAGAGGAGGGGAACAACTGCACCCTGTACCTCCCCTGGGGATGAATGGCGGTGGCTGATGTTCTGAGTGGGCATCAGTTGCCTTGGGGTGGGAGACCAGGTCTCCTTGGCCCATCCCTTCCCAGAGGGTTCTTGTCCAACCCATGTGTACTTGCTGCATGACTTGCTTCCCAATTTGATCCCCATTTAATCAGTGTTACCTGAGCTACTATACTTGTTATAGTCTTGTTGGTTCACCATGGTTTTGTCCCACCTAACTACCACCTTGTGACTTCCCATTAGGTCAGTGTTGCCTGGGTGACTGCTTGTGGTCTTGTTGGTTGACTATGGTTATGTTCTACCTTGAACTCGCCTCACCTTATGGCTTTGCTCAGTATGGCACCCTTGAGAGGCAGGGTTAGCGGGCAGCCCACTTTCTGGAGGGGCCCCCTTCTGTCTCTCATGGACAAAGGCTTTTCTCCCTTTCAGTAGATTCTTCCTACTCTTGAAAAAAAAAAAAAGAATAACTCCTTGATTCAGGAATCAATGAGATAATTTGTTAATTCATTTAACAAATGTCATAAGCACAAACATCTGCCTGATTCTGTGCTTGGTGTTGAAGAGAAGGATGGGAATAAAGATCACAGCTTAGTCACATAGATAAACCAGAAAATAAGCAAATATTTACATTTGTGCATTTAAGTATGTGCAGTAAACGTTAAGTACAGCTAATTCTGCTGGAGGGAGAGGATTCCCTAGAGGGGAAGGAGAAGTCTTGAAGGAGAAGCAAGAATAAGGCAAAAGGCTTTAGGGTCATGGAACAGAGCTCTGAAATAATAAGGATAGTCTAAGAATAGGAGCTTATATTTGTTAGGCCAACAATTGTTAGGCACTGTCAGAAGCATGGGCATTTAGTCCTTACATGAGAATCCTATGAAGCACATTCTTTATCATCCCCACTTTCTGGGTGAGACAACTCAGGCAGAGTTAACTTCTGTTACATAATTTGCACAATTCATAATGGCAGAGCCAGGCTACAATCCCATGTCCTTTTGCTCTAACCACCACACTAAACTGCCTGTCTGTGGGAGACCTCTGCACACTGAGGAGCTGAAACAAATGTAGGGAGGTAGGAGTTGATGAGAGGTGTGATAAACAACATGAAAGTATTTTTACAAACTGTAAGTACTCTCCCACCACTAATAATGGAGGTGAAGAGTATCACCACTATTATTAAATAACCATTCTTCCCCTCTGTGAGAGGAGGATTATTGGCCTTGAAAGACAGTGGCTGTTTGAGAGGCCCGCCCAGAAACTGGGGACCCCAAGGGAGTATGGGCTGCAGGGAACCTGACCCTGAGATGGAAAGCAGAGATGTGGGCTCGGGTCCTGGTCTTGCCCCTAACTTTTACATGGCCTTTGGTGAGTCACTTACTCCCCCAGCCTGATCTTTACTGTCCAGTCTGTAAAATAGAAGGAGGGAAGACTGAAGATTCCAAGGGCTCTTCCAGCCTTCCCATTGTGAACAAATTGCTGCTACTATTGGTGTTTTGCTCCTCTAGACTGGAATGTCTGCCCAAGGCCACTTCCTTAAAGCAAAATGTCACCTTGGATGATAGTGGCATCATCTACAAAGTAAGACCTGTGCTGGATGGGAAGCCTGTGGCTTGTATCCCCGAGTCCACAGGTCTCCTGATCAAAAACTCCCATCCTTCCTGGCCTTGCCAGGACACTGGTTTCAAATCCCAGGAATCTAGTCCATTCCTATCTGCTCTCATCTTCCACAGGGTCTAAGTAGTGTGAGCATTCTAGGCCTTTCACTCCTGAGGATGCAGCCAGAATATGCAGAGACAGGTGACATGCTGGTGGGGCCCAGTCTGAGTTTTTTTCTGAGCCAGAGCCTCTAGGCTTTCTCACATGCATTGCTCCAATCTCCACTTTAAGCCATCAGTCTGGATTCTAATGCCCCAGAATATGAAGTGCTCACATGCAATCCTCTTCCTCATGTCTTAGGATCTCCAGAGAGACCAGACTCACGGGCCTGCAAGAGACCCCTTCACACCAAAGTCATGCACATCAAATCCTCCTCGCTGATGCAGACCTCTGTAAACAATAAGGTACTTTCATACATTATTAATCCAAGTATCGTTCCTTCAGCACCTCATTAAATTCCTGAACTAGTTTGGACAGGGGTAGGGTTGGCAGATAAACTGCAAGATTCCCAGTTAAATCTGAATTTCAGATAAATGATAAATAATTTTTAGTATCAGTATGCACCAAATATTGCATGAGGCATACTTTTTTAAATTTTTCATTCATTGTTTTAAATTGGAATTCAAATTGAACTACCTACCCTGTAATTTCATGTGCTAAATCTGGCACATCCTAGTCCAGGATCATTAATATTATTTTGCAGAACTGAAAGTCAAAGGGATAAAATGATTTATCCAAACTCCTCGAGTTCAGGAGACATATCTGACACTTCTGTTATTTATTTACTTTTAGTTTTTACACATGAGAATTATAAAACCTTAAAGACAGTGTACCCATCCCTTTACAGTGACCTAAACAACTACACATCGTGAAAATCCTATTACATAGATGATAGATAGATAGATAGATAGATGATAGATAGGTAGATAGATAGATAGATAGATAGATAGATAGATAAATAGATCTCAGAGCATTAAAAAGTTCACTTTTAACTTCAGTTGCTAAGTTGGAGAGTTGGAGTTAGCTCAGAGAAGTGGCTTGGGAAATGTTTATTCAGCTCCTGGGTGTTTTGAGCCTGTCATTCCTATGGAGACCTACAGGGTAGAAGAAAAAGAGCAGATTCAGGACAGAGAACGGTGTCAGAAGGCAGCATGAGGCTTCCCTGATCTTCCTGCATGGTTATGCGAAAGATGAATGGAGGTGACTGTCAGGAAAGCATACTAGACTAAAACATCGTGAAACTACTTTGGGGCATCGTGAAAAGGCTCCTTGTCGTTACATTCCCTTCCTGCTCCAGGTTTCAGACCACAGGCAGCCTGCCCAGGGCTGCCACATGCAAGGAGGTCTTGGCATAAATGCTGCCCAAGGAATCCCTTCACTTTCCTAGAGATGCACGTAGTCCCTCTCCTGCCTTCTGGATGGGCAAGCCAGTCAGGGGCATCAGTGGGACAGCCTCCAAGGTGCCTCTGAACTAGATTCAGCTCATGTCTCTCATGATGGACACTTCAGGCTCCAGCCCCTGACAGATCACATACTTGTGTCATATGCACAGCCAGAGCTGTGAATAAACACTCTGAGACACTCTGAGAAGACTTGAGCTGCTGATGACAGGGGTCAGAGGTCTTGGTTCTGTTCCAGGCTGTCAATTAAGAAAGATGAGCTGCCGAAGACTAGAAGCCCAGGCACGAGCTCTTGTCACAGGCCTAGTGTTTTTTTTATGTCTGGGGTTTACTAGTTGAGTCCTAGTCTTGGAGTCAGGCGAGAGGGCCTTCTAAAGTGTCTAGCTGTAATCCAAACATTCTGAGTCTTTCCCGTTCAAGCTCACATGGTAACTGGCAGTAGAACCAGGCCTGGAACTCCCGTTTCTTTTTGGTGCCTGCCGCATGCTGGATGCAGATGATCAGCTTTCCATGGTACGCAAACAGCAGGTGGGCGGATGTGGTCACTGGCCAGTGCACTGGACTCGGGTCACTGAGCTTTAACCCTGGCACACCATTAACAGCTTAATCCATTCAGCCCCTTCTCCTCCCTGGGTGCTCTACAGTGCACAGAATGTGGATTAGAAATGAACTGTTCTCAGCCAAACCCCTGAAATAGAAGATGAAATGGCCCACAGAGACCATCTGGTTTAGTTTCCTCAGCAGTACAGAATCACCAGCCTCCATGCTGGGGAATTATTCCAGAAACCGATGAGCTCCACGGGCTTGCGAGTTGGTGGCAGGCCACATGGAGGCAGAAGGTGGTGAGTGGGCCATGAAGAGATAGACATGATGCAGAGGTAGCCCCATGTAGGCAGAGGTGTGACCGTTCCGCCTCCTGTCCGCTCCACTTAAAAGTTCCTTTTACACTGAACTAAGCTCTGTCTCCATGAACTTCTGCCCACTGGATCTGGCTCAACCCCCTGGAAACCAGCAGACCAAGTCTGTTACTTCTGCCGATTTGAGGAGGAGTCACCCACATCACACAACACGTGAAGCTGCTAAGTTAGGCAGGAACCCCGGTGTGCATGCAGCCCAGCCTCCCCCACCTGGCTCTCTCCCCTGCCAAGCATATATATATATATTTATGTCTCCCACTTCGGAGAAAATGATAATGAAACAGAAGGAGGAAGAGACAGAGCATCTCTGCCCATGCAGAGATTCTTGGATGCATTCCCCTGTAAGTGGCAGCACTGTTCTCAGCTCTGTGCAGGATGCAGAAAGTCTCTGGTGTGGTTCTAATGGAAGTCGTGGAGTTAGGTTAGGGAGCCTATGTATGTAAATAAGATAATTTTAGGAAAGGACAATACTAAGACGAAAACACAGGCTGCCAACAGGCTAGAAAATGACTCAGGACAACCTGACACTTTCACTGGAATGGCCAAGAAAGCTATATTGGAGAAGCTCCCCCCTGAGCTGATGCCTTCAAGGAAGCAGACAGGAAGATTACAGAGAGGGAACAAAGATTGTAAAGCCCCTTTGACAGAAACAAGCTTAGTACATCAGAGGGAGAAACAAGCCAGAATGAGCAGAATCCAGTGAATAAGGGGAACTGGGAAAGGAGATAAAGTCTGAGAGGAGGTTTTGGTCTGAGCCGCAACTTACTTACAGTTCTGAGCTGATGAGGTAAAGATGAAATCACGGCGATGCTTCCCTTCCAGAGCCACAGCAAAGCAGAAATCACAGCGTCATTGTGATAATAACCGTGAAGGCCTAGTGTTTGTACACATGTGGCTGGGTGCCTCCCCAAGACGACTCCACTGGCATCTGCAGCTCAGTTATCAAACCCAACAGGAAAAATCCACCCTGGGTTTCTGTCTGGCCAGCCAACTTCGAGAGGGTTTGTCTGCAGTTCCCCCCTGCTACAATGTCCTCCTAATTAGAGAAGGGCACTTAGGTTTTAGGAGATTTTGTGACATATAGAAAGCTGGACTCCAGCTTCACCTCCCGCATGGGACTCTGTCCCTTGTTTCTGGGGTCTTCATGGGAGTCCTTCACTTCCTACCCCATCTGGCCCTGTTTTCAGAGTCTGCTTTGGTAAAACTTCACCATGGGATGTAAATGGTACTGCGCTCTCTCCCAGGAGTCCCATATTTTATCAAGAGTCCAAGTCCCTAGCCAAAGGAATGTGTCTAAAATTGTGTAATCTCAGTCTGCCATCCAGGTTGGGGAGTAGCAGTGGAGTCCGCAGGCTGATATAGGGCCCTGGCTGACGGGTGCGGAGCCTCCGGCGCCAGGTCACACTGCTTTGTTCAAGCAAAGCATTTCTCCCTGCCCACTGCAGGCATTTGACTCTTGGGAATTCATGAGAGATTCTAGAACTTGCTCCACTCTGGATAAACTCCTACTGCATAATTCTTGCAAAGGCAGTTGAGGCAGGGGTGGGGCAGCCCTGGGTAAACTGACAGAGGGCAGGGATATCAACAGAACATGTTCCCAAGGAAAAGAAAAGTCAACCCCTTCCAGAAAATGCTGCCTGGCTCAGCAGAGTGCCTTGTCATCTCACTGGCACGGTGTCTGTGTTTCTTTCCTATTTCAGACCAGAAGCAAATGTCTGCACAATCTCTATGAGTTCATGTTATCTTTTTTCAGAATGACCTAACCTTAAGTAACCAGAGTCAAATAATCTAGTCCTGTCCTTTGGCTCCTGATTCCATTTCTGGTGATTTGTCGTTGGTAAATATTTTCAAAGAGTGTTGTAAAACTTTGTTTTACCCCAAAAAAAAAAGTTGATAGTATATATGACAGCATGAAGTAGAAACTACCCAGGTACCAAATGACCAAATTCTGGCCTATCCATTTGAAGGAATGCTATGACAAGCTTAAAGATGACAACGTTCAGCAAGATATGAAAAAGCATGTATGAAAGAATGTTTCCAAAAAAATCCTGGAAACTACAACTGCACAAGTCAATCTGTTTCTTCCCTGGAGGTCTGCACATGATGACTGGCTGAGCTCAGGAAATATTTGAATGGAGTTTAAGCCAATTTTTTTTTTTTTTTTGGTGGGTGTGTGCTTACATAATGTAAATGAAATAATCCTTGTGAAAATGCCTCCTAACTTTTAAATATTTTTCATTATAAAACTATTGTTTCTTTCTTAATAATAATAACAATAAATGTTTTAAATAACTCCTAATTGTTTGATCTTGAGTGAGGTAGTTGGGATGGAAAATGGCTGTGTGCTGCCTGGGGTTTAGGAGTGGGGGGGTCTCATCTTGACGAGACCCCTACCTTTCCAGGGTCACCCCAGGAACTGGACTCTAGAATACTCATGCTAAACATTTGGAGACCCATCCTTGGGTAGGAATCATCCGGGGTCAGGGGAAACTACCAATTAGAGCCAAAGGACCTGTCCTTCTAAAAAACTATTCTGCTCCCCTAATAATAAAATTCTTAGCATCAAACAACAAAAATCGAGTATGGCTAGTTCAATAATAATTACTGTGTTATGATCATAATTGGCATTAAAGGCAAGCACTGCGTGAGGACAGATGGTTAGGGCTTTAAATGTGTTATCTCTCTTTATCTGTAACCTTGAAAAGGAGGCAGTTACCCTGTTTAATATTAAGTAATTGAAGTTAAGAAAGGTTGAGAAACTTGCCCCATAGCCACAAATTTAGTAAGGGGAAGAGATGGTTTTCAAACCAAGAGCTGACAGTCAAGCTCGAGGGATCAACCGCCCTTTATTACTGTGTGTGCAACCCATATCCTCAGGAATCCAACTAGCTGGTGATGGGGACTCATCTTCATGGGCTCTAGGGGCCTCGACATGTTGGTGAAATTTCCAGAGAGGTGGCTAGGGTTCGTTGTTGACATGCACGCCGGAAGAGCTCTGAAGCCGGCAGCCAAAGCAGCTCAGAAGCAGAAATACTCTCAGGGCCTCAGGAAACATCTGCAAATCCTCAAGGAGGCACAAACTGCCCCCTATCACTCTCCAGGGGACATAACCAGTTGGTCCCATGGACAGTGTGAAGACAAACATGTCACTTGTATTTTCCAGGCTGTGTCCCTGCAAATGGAATAATTCACTCTTTCTATACTTTTAGCATTGACCACTTGGGAGCAGGGCCTGTACTGGGCCCTGGGGTGGCAGTAGTGAAATAAGCACCACCACTTGCCCTCTAGGGCTTGCAGAGTGACAAAGCAGCATTTGCCATTCAAAGTGATTGGTGAGAGAGAGGGTGTGGTGTAAGGGAAAAAAGTGAACTCCGGAGCTAGAGGGACCTGTTTCTTCATGTCCTGGTTGTGTGAGTTCAGGCAAATTTCCCAATCTCTCTAGGTTGTTTTCTCATCTGGAAGAAATGCAAAATAATTATGCATGTATTTTTATTGCCTAATTACCGTGAGAATTGAAAGGAATAAGTACAGCAACACTTCAACCTACCTAGCTCATGGTGGGAACTCACTAAATTATAATTACTAGCATTAATATTGCTGATAATATTTTAAAAGGGACATATCTGGGTTTTGACAACTATGTAAGGGTTTGTTGAGTGACTGGTGGGTAGGAAGGGCTTTTTAGTTACAACCAACAGCAAGAACAGCTATGTGAAGGAGAATGGAATGTCCAGGCAGCATGAGTGGGCCAGTTAGGAACTACACAGATATTCCCATCAGGCTGTAAGGGCTTCGCCTGGGGCAAGAGAACTCACTGAGGTCCTCTTTCTACTATCTGCAAATAAAGGACCATGAATGACCTCTCGGTGCAAATACACAGACCGCTATTCTTGTAGGCTATGCTTCTAGAGCCAGGCAGCCTTCATGCCCCTGGCCTGACTGTCCGCAGGGAACACAGATGACGCTTAGACCGAACTGCTCAAGCCTCTGACTCCCCTTCTCTGGAATTAGGCTTGAGCTTCATTCTGATCCTTGCTGCACAACGTTAACAGGTCACTAATCTCTCTCATCTCTCAGTTTTATTATCTGAAAAATTGTGTTGGAATCAGGGGCTTGCAAGGGGAAACCATCCAGGACACATAGTTTATAAGATTATTTTATAATAGTCACCCAAAGAGTCATATACAAAGACAGTGCAGGAAATCTGTCCACACACTAAAGACCAAAGAATCCAGCTGAGGGCCTGGATCCCACAGTAGTGTCCTGCATGAGTCCAACTGAAGACCTACAGCCCATAACAGTGCCTCCCAGGAATCCAACTGAAGGCCTAGAGCCCATGACAATGTCTCATGCAAGGCTGTTTCACAGATCTGTGTTGGGAAGACCCAAAGGTCAGTGGTAGAAGCTACAAAGTCCATGCCAGCAGGATGAAGGATCTGTGCTGGCAGGCTAAGGGATCTCCACTGGAGCTAGGAAGCGATGCTCAAAGTAAGAACCAGAGCTCCCCCCAAAAGTACCACAGCCATCCTCAGCAACAGTGAGGTCCCGAGCTCCTCTGATGATGAGAACAGCCAAGTTCCCATTAGGAAAGCCAAGGTGACCAGCTTCTTCTGGAGACCGAGCAGTGCCCCATCTTCCCCTCTGGATCCAGGAAGTGATGCTCAAAGTGAGGACCAGAGGTCCCCCAAAGTGAACCAAAACCATTCTCAGCGACTAAGGTCCCGAGCTTCTCTGACGAAGAGAACAGCCAAGTTCATCAGGAAAGCCAGCATGACAAGCTCCACCAGGAAAACCAACAGCTCCCTATAGCTTCTGACAGTACCCAACAGCTTCTGAACTTCTTCCTCTCCAGTTCTGCCTCTTATGCTATTTGCTGGCAACAATCCCCAGGTGAGCCTCCCACACCCAGCACCACGCTGGTTCAGTTCAGCTGGGTGTTGCAGTTCACCACCAGCTGTCAATCCACCCCAAATGGAAACAGTTATACAGGACACAGAAATTACGGTGTGTTATCACAGTGTCTGGCCCACAGCAGGTATTCTCCACCCAGGAGACAGGGGCCACTCTTCTGCCCAAACTCACTGCACCGTGAGGTCAGGACTCATAGATTCCCAGAGAAGCCCCACTACCTCCACCACCTGCAGGAAAAAGTCTTCTAAGAGACAGAGTCAAAGGGAGGGGAGGGAAGAGAGATAAAAAATCTATTGAGATGTGTTACATACACGCATCAACTCCCCACAGTGAATGTAATCATTATGGACTGCGACCATGTACTAATAAAAAAATAGAAACTGGAAAGAAAGACTTTCACAGAAATGGCGTATTAAAGATGTTCCGTATGTTGCTTTTTTCAGTGAACAGTAGATCATGTCAAAGTATAAATCTCAGAGATAAAAAAGGAGACAAAACAAAGATTTTTATTGTTTTTTATTGAGATATAATTCACATTATGAAGGTCACCCTCTTAAAGGGTGTAATTCAGTGGTTTTAATATATTTACAAGGTTGTGCAACCATCACTACTATCTGATTCCAGAAAAGTTTCATCATCCCCAAGAGAAATCCTATACCCATTAGTAATCATTCCCCATCCCTCCATCCTCCTCGCCCCAGTAAACACTTATCTCATTTTCTGTCTCTATGGATTTGTCTATTCTAGACATTCCATGTAAATGGAATCATATTATTTGTGGCCTTCTGTGTCTAACTTCCAGCATTTAGCATAATGTTTTCAAGGTTCATCCACCCTTTTTGTGGGGGAATACTATTCCATTGTATGGATACTAAACTACATTTTATTATTCATCAGTTGACAATATGGATTCTCTGTCTGTATCTGTCTCTCTCCCTCCCTCCTTTCTGGTGCTGGGGATTGAAACCAAGGCCTTCACAAAGAGCTACATCCCCACCCCCTTTTTTATCTGTTTATCTATCTATTTATTTGTTTATTTATTTATTTTATTTATTTTTAGAGGGGTGGTCTCGCTAAATCACTGTTTCCCAGGTTGAGCTCAAACTTTTTACCTTCCTGCCTCAGCCTCACAGAGTACTGGGATTATAGGTGTGCACCACCATGCCTGACTATTTCCATCGTTTGGCTATTGTGAATAATCCTACTTTTTTTTTTTAACTGTTGCATAGTTGTCCATCAGTTGGATATAGCATAGTTTACTTAAGCACTTGCTACCAAAAGGATGGTTCTGCTGTGTCATTTTTTTCAAAACTCAAAAACATGTTACCACAACATCCTTCTAGTCTTCCATAAGAGGTAGACCAAACTTACCCCATTTCCTGTGGAAATTATCCAACAGAAGCAAAAAGTTATAATGACAAAGATACTAGTTGCAGCAATCTTTACAGGAACACAAATCAGGAACTACTTAGAGAGTTCACAATCAGGACCTATTCAGATACATTCTATTGTTCAATGAAATAATGGAGAGTTCTTAAAAATAATAATTATGAAGGCAATACAGCAGCTATGCTAACGGTGAGAAAAAGCACAACACATTGCAAATGGGCATTGCGTGCTCATGCTGGCACCTACGCCTGCTGCCCTGGAGAGTCCTGCTTCGTAAGTGTGGAGGTCATCACATCACCGATGACAAACAACAGCCAGGAGGAGCAGGCTGGGGATCTCTGCCACCTTGCATCTACTGAGGGTGCCAGCGAGGAGCTTGCTCACAGGAGGAAGGAGGGCTCTCCTCCCAAGTGTCAAAGGGGATATAAAGTCACTCTTTAGGTCCTAGGCGGAGGCTCGCAGTTGGGCTGTGTAACAGTGGTGAGAATCACGGACCCAGGTTGTCTCAATGGCTGTGAAGGTAACAGGTGACCTGGTGTGATGAGTGTTCTCTAAGTTTAGTGTGTCGCGCCGGAGTCTTGCCATTCTTCAGTATCTGGGGCACAGGCTGACTTCTCAGAGCGCTACCTGACACTGGACTTCCCAGAGGCCTGGCTGCAAAGACATTCAACTGCAGCGATCGTGAATGCATTCAACCGAACCAATCGTGAATTTCTTTTAAAAACATGCTTCCTATTGTCATAATCAAGTATTTTCCAATCATTGATTTAAGCTCACAGGATGTTACAAAACCAATGATAAATGTGTTGTCTTCAAAATACTAATGGGAGAAATTCAACTCTGGGCCGGGGATATAGTTCAGCAGCACAAGTGCCTGCCTGGCAAGTGCAAGGTCCTGAGTTCAATTGCTGGTACCAAAAAAAAACCCAAAAACAAAAAAAAAAAGAAAAGAAAAGAAATTCAGCTCTGATGGAGTGTGTTGGTTAACAGCTTAATTTTTTTGTATGTTTATAGCTGTGATTTTGTATAATGATTTGGTTGTATTCTGTATAAATTATATCTAGCTATATTTTTTCTAAACTTATAAAGTATATACTAATGCATGATTGAAATTAAAACTCTATTTGAAGGAATACAAAAGACTAATATTTCACAGTATTCCGTAAAGGACACAGTAGCCTTCAGATGCTCTGCTATCACCTCCAATCAGTCTCACAGCTGTGAGATGATCACCAAAATGTTCCCAGTCAGAAGTAGGAGGTTTAATGTTGTATAAGTTAGGGTCACAGCTACACTGTGACAGTAAAGAGGCTCCAAAATAGATTGGCCCAAACGTGATCAAAGTTTATTTCTCTCTTCCAAAATCAAACAGCCAGGTTATGGTGGAGAGATAACTACGCTACAAACAGGCACGATTTCCCTGTGGTTCTGCCATCCCCTGGGAGTCATCATTTGCTTAATCAAAGCTGGGTTGTGGGGCTGGGGATTTAGCTCAGCGGCACAGCACCTGCCTGGCAAGCGCAAGGTCGTGAGTTCGATTCTCGGTACCGGAAAAAAACAAACAAAAAAAAAAACAACAAAGCTGGGTTGCTACTCTTGGGAAAGAAGAACTAGCACCTAAGATAAGGAGCTTAAGTTTGGAGATGAGCCAGAAAATGTCTACATGACCCCTTCTCCTATCCCGCATGTCCACTCTGAATCACATGGCCACATCCAGCTCAAGGAAGGTTAGGAAGGGTAGTCCCTCACTAGGCAAGTGTGCCCATGAGGAGACGGAGGAAGGATTTGAAGAAACAAGTAACCATCTGCTACAGAGATGTTTTTAAATGTAAAAAATTACAACATAAATAAATCATATGACAATCTCATCACACAACTACTAACTTCTCTGTGGTACCTCCCGCTTGAGATGAACATTTACTTTTAAAGGTGTAAAAATGGTGTATATGCAATTTTACATGCTCCCAGAAATGAAACAGTACGATGCTGAGGGACTGATTTCTTTTTAAAACACAGTACTCAACACTGGGCAGAAAATGGAGGAGGGGCCACTCTCAAATGTTACTAAGGAGAATGTGCATATGTACAATTTGTCTGGAGTGCAACTGGTGATATATTTCAAAAGTTTTGCAAACTTAACCTAAGGGGAAAATTCAGAGATGTGAATATGAACTTGTATAAAAGTTTATAATCATCAAAGCCTTGTTCGTAATGCTAAAAACTGGAAACAACCTAAATATCCAACAACAGAGGATTAAGCAAATAATGATCCACCTATCTGTATGCCGGACCAGTATGCAGCCATTGACACTGTGCTCTGGAAGAATATTAGTGACATGAAAACTCTGATGATATTTTAAGTGAGAAAAGCACATTACAAAATAGTATGTATGTTTTCATTCTAATTTTTTGGCAAAAACTACCCAAACACATAAAAGTACTAGAAGAACACAGTTCGTAATCAAAAGGTCAACAGTGGTTGTTCTGGGTGAGCAGTATTACCAGTGATTTTTACTTCCTTATTTGTTCTGTTTAGTACTTTTCAAATTTCTTTACAAAGACATTTATTACTTTTATCATAGAGTTTATTTAAAGCATTGAGTTAGATGTACAGAATTCTACCACATTCAAGCAGGACAGATCTTAGCAACAAGCCCCTCAGAGTTCCAAAGGAGGCCCAGAGAGGGTGAGTGACTCACCTGAGGTAACACATCTAGTCAAAACTGGGATTTGAACTGAGGTAACCTGTCTTCAAGCCTGTATTCTTACCACCATGTCACACTAAAAATAACTTCTCTACAAACAACTGATTCCTGGCAGCTTAGTCAGTATTGAGGTATATACAAAACAAAGCAAATCCTTAGACAAATCCTTAGACAACTGAAAACAAAATAACTTAAAACACACACCCCAAATTTCTGGTACAACCAGTATTGATAAGGAAATATTCACTGGGAAAACATTCATGTTGGTAGAGATAGGATATGAGTACTTCCTTCATTCAAAAAGTGTTGAGGACCTACTCCATGCCACATCTGACACACCAGATCCTGGAAACCGATGGTGAGTGGACATAATTCTTGTTCTTAGGGTACTTGCAGTATCTCAATTCTGCTAATTTAATTGTTGAATACCTACTATACATTTTCACCAGCCTTTGTCTATTGTACAACACCAAATAATATTAGTCCCCACTTTCTCAGTTAATGTTTAACTTTTTTGGGAGGATGGGGATATTTGAGACAAGATCTTGCCGTGTAGTCTAGACCGGCCTTGAACTCACTATGTAGCCCAGGCTGCTTCTGAACTCATGATGATTGACCCCCGTGTCTCAGCCTCCTGTGTGCTGGGATTACGGGTATGTGCCATCACACCCGGTTAGGGTCTAACTTAAAGCACTGTAACAAAGCACTATTTCTAATCTCACAACCACAAAAACGATAGGCATAGCTAATTCTGTTTCACAGATAAGAGAACTGAGAATCAGAGATATTAAGTGGGTGTGCCAAGGTTATATAGATAGAAAGTGGCTGCACTTTTTTCAGTGAACATCTTGCTGCCCCTAACCTAGGATTCTGTCACCAATCCTGTAACCTCACTCAGTAGCACCCACTTATCACACAGCCTAAAACCTAGGGCTCAATGGCGCTATTTAGACTTACTGAATTTACTAGGATGGAACCCAGGAATCCTCTATTTTTAATATTACCTCTGAATATCTCCTATCCTAAGCTAGAAGTTAGGAACCACTGCCTTACCCTGCAACCTGGAATCCTACAGTTCAAGCTAAAAAAAAGAACTGTGCCCAGGTCCCAAGGCAAATGTACCAATTGTGTTCCCACTAGGAGACAACATAAGCCAGGATGTCTAAGAAAGCAGAACACAGCTGAAGGGAGTAGAATGACTAAGGACATTCACTTATGTTCTGGACCAAGAGTGAAGGCCAGCTAGGTACCAGGCACTGGGCTGTGACTCTTCTATTTACAAACCAGGGAAGCCGCTTTGTAACAAAGTGGAGATTAAAAAGTAGGGCGAGCATATTCTGCAGCTTTTCCTCTTAGGCCACAGACATTTGTTAATCTACCCCTTGATTCTAGGCTGGAGTCCTGACTTACTTGGATCAACAGCACATGTAGCAGTGCCTTCTCAAGGTCTGGAGTCTAGCCCTCAAGACCTTGCTGCTTCTACCTTTGCTTTCTTGGAAGATTCTGCCACTGAGTAAAGAAGTCTAGGTTGAAAGGCCATATGGAGAGGCCCAATGTCCCACTGGAGGCCTCCAACAACTGGATGAGGCCATCTTGGACCATGCACCCCCAAAACAGTCACCCAGAACTGCAGCTCCCGGGTGAGCCCAGCCAACCCAGGCAGCCCACTGAGCTACGAGAAGTAATAAACCTTTGTTTTAAGCAACTAAGTTTCAGAGTAGATTATAAGATGGCAATGGATAACTGACAGGAGCAGCAATGCACAGAGGAGTTTTCATTTATGGGACAGTTATTTATACACAGCCTACTCTGTCCCAAGTATTATATCATCCTGTACATCCATCCTATACCTGCAAACAAGAGAGGAGACCCCAGTCTCCTATGGGAAAAACAGACAATAAACAAGTAAACCCCTAGATACATAATCTCATAAAGATATACGTACTATGGTGATAAGCAAACCAAGGAAGGAGTTTGGAGAGTCACTGGTGCTGGTAATGAATAGAGGTTTTGGACAGAGTGGTCATGGAAATCTCTAGAAAGCCCACATTTGACAATATTCCTGAGTACCTAACAAGAGGCACAAATGAAGATTTGGGAGAGGTACGTTTCCGGCAAGTAGAATAGTAATTACAAAGACTCTGAAGCAGGAAAAAATCTTAATATACTCAGAATACAGCCTAGAAGTCAATGGGATTGTAGAAGGTAACATTTTAACCTGTTTAGAATCCCTCATATTTCATTTTTCCCATCACTTAATAGAGGGTACTGTCAACCACTTACACATTTACCAAGTGCTAACTCGCAATGGATACCACTCTGAAGTATTTGTCAAAATATGTTTAAAAGGCTTTCCTCACCCCTGGATTTGGAATCAGCAAGCTATTTTCCACTTTTCTGTAGTTTTTATTGTCTTTAGTTTTTTTTTTTTTTTTTGCTGTTGTTTTTATTTGGTCTTTTTGAGACAGGGTCTCGCTATGCAGTTCAGGCTGGCCTTGAGCTCACTTTGTAGCCCAGGCT